GACATTGTATATTTTCACTTAACATATACCGACTGTCTGCACTCTATGGTCGAGATGGAAAGACGGGAGAACATAAAAGTATTAAAGATTGTAATGGACACTAGAGACAAGTGGAAAGAGAATGTGGGAGGGGAAGAGCATAGGAAAAGAAATTGGGGGGGGAATGGAGAGGTAAGACACTTGTGGGACACAGACAAGGTTTCTTATCTGTTGACGAGGATGTGTGTGGTGGTCTCAGCTGGGCTGGACTGAGGTGTATATCATGCTGGGTAAAGTCTCTTCACAATCTAAATGATGTGTAGTGATTTAATGTATGAATTAAAAAAGAGAGAGAGAGAGAGAGAGATGCCCTCCCTGTACCTGGAGGGAAGGAAGGACCTTATTTCTGAAGACAAGGCACAAAAATCTTCACAGAGAGGCCTTGCTAAGTCCCCAGTTTACTACCAGAGGTCATGCCCTCTGTTCCCCCACCTCTCTCCACGACTGTCTGCTCTTCAGCAACTCTAAGCATAAAAAGATGCAAGTTTATCTGTTTCTTCTTCTATTTGGTTGTCAGGAAAGCCACGACGTGTTGTTCTGTTTTTCTACACAAAAACGTGGGCCATGACTTTCCTGACGACCCAGTATTTCCTTCTGGGAGCTCTCCTGTCACGTACACATTATGTTAAATAAATATGAGGCTGTGCTCTTGTTAATCTATTGTTTTTTACAGACTCAGCCATTAACCTGGCAATGAGCAAGGGAAGTCTTTCCCTCCCTCTCCTACATGTGTCTGACTAAGGTAAGGGGTGACCTTGTGGTGACAGATGGCTGACTACAAAACCAGGAAAGCTAGGGAGGCCATCAGAGGAGAGAAATTAGACTTTTCCAATATGGCCTTGGAGGGCCGAGGTTACGGAGCTGCCCACTTCCCCAGCCCCCCTCGCTGCCGTTGGGGCTGGGGGACTGAGTCCTTGGCCCGGGGATGTGAGCAGGAGTTTGTAGCTTCTGCCTCTTGCCGTCCCTCCTCTCCTCCCTCTCTGTGGGTTAGACTGAGAAGCAGGCAGAGCCAGGGAGCTTTGCTCCACAGGCAGGGCTGTGACACTGGAGGCTCAGGATTGCCTGTGGGTCCTGGGCCACCGGCCGGCCCAGGTGCATTTTCATGAGTGGAAAAGACATACCTGGTTAGTTGGTGCTTTTGTAGTTTCGAGTCTCTGACAGAGTGGCTTAGTCTGCGTCCTGCCAACGTAACTATTTCTTGGAGATAGCACAGATTACGTAGGTATAACATAGCGGCTCGCGCACAATGATTTCGATCACCTTCAATGTTGTGTCTCCCCAAAGTCTCCTTTCTTCTAAAACCAGCCATCTGAACAGCTGCCCCCCACTATGGGCTATGGTCTATAATGGGGTCTGAAGGCTCCAAAAGGTCAAGAAACTTTGACCCGCTTTTCTTTTACCCCCTGTATCCAGTCTCCTCCCAAGGCTCATGTTTTCCTTTAGGAAATATCCTTGGCCCTGATACTGATGACAAACACATTTCCAAGTTCTGTTTGTCATTTTCTGAATGCAGAGATTGGTTTTAAAAATGGGATGCCTTATTTAGCCTGCTTGCGATACTATTCTTCTGAAATTGTTTATTTTAGCTCAGAAAAAAAAAAAAGAAAGAAAGAAAGAAAAGGAATGCCAGGCCCCACTAAAGTTGAAGCTTCAGATAGTACAAATATATTTTTGCTCCAAGTGTATTTCAAATTGTGGAAGGCTGCATATTGGATCTTGCACATGAGCAACTGTTCGTCCATTTTGATCCCTTACCCTAACATGGCTGTCTGCTTCTGTAAACCTGCTTGTTCTTTCCGTGAGAAAATAGCTTGTGCTAGCCATACAGAAAGCCATATCCAGGATGACATCCTGTACCTGCCACTGTCTTTGCTAACTAGCCCGAAACCCTTTTGTCTAGCAATGGAACTGCTTGCATGGAAACCCCGCTCCCCTCAGAAATAATTAACCTGCTTGATTCAGCTTCTGTTACTGCTTGCATAGAAACCTTTGGTAACTGACCGCTTATAAAAAGACTACTCCAACTGCAGTTGGGGCTACAGTTCTGACTCTCAGCACCTCTCTCCCCCAACCCCCAAGCCTCAGACTGCAGTCACTGGCCAGCTAATAAAGACTCCCTCTAAACTAAATCTGGCTTTGGTGGTCGTTCATTCGGTTGCACTCTACAACAAAAGCAAACCTAATTTTTGTGTTGGGAAACACACCAGCCAGAAGAATATTTTGACTGATGAACTGTGTCTAAGTAAACTAAAGTACCTGAGAGAATGTGAGGCACTCCTGGCTGCTGTGCCAGGGTTCTAGAACATCCTGTCTCCCAGACATGCTCCCAGGCCCAGCCCCACCCCTCTCCTCCCTCCTGTTTTCCTTCTTATCCATAACGCCCTTCCCTCTGACCTCCTAATTTATGCAAACTCTAGAAATTCACTCAAACTTTGTGGTATCATTTTTCTTCCCTTTGTTCATGCTTGAAAACCTGTAGCAAATATCGAATCCAGAACCCAATGAAACTGCTAAGAATTGTTCCTTCATTATTATCGGCTGCAGCCCCTCCCCAGACCTTGTGTTATCTTTGGAAGTCTTCCCTCACTGAGCCTGTACGCGATGTTCGATAAATAGAGGTGAAGCGTGGATAATTAAAAGATACCGATCAGATATTCTCAGTGATATGAAAGGTGTCAATGAAGAATACGATGGAAATCCATGGCCCACGGATTAATAACAATACGTAGGGAGAGTGAGCGTGGCTTCCTCACAGGACATTTTGGATGGGAAGCTTTTGTGGATTTGAACTTGCTCTTAGCAGCACTAATGACATTGCGCACGGAGGTCCCGGTTTCACTTCACAACTGCATCATTTGGAAATCATTAAGAACAACTCTTCCTCAGTATTTTTTAATTATGGGTTAACTGAAAACACCACCATTTATCTAGCCAGCCCGTCCTTAAATCTCCTCATAGGAAACACATTTTAAACCATCTCTTGCTCTTGAGTTTTAGCTCCATTAAATTCTTGTCAACACGTTCTTTTCTTCATGGAAGTCGAAAGACAATTACACTTTTTGAACTCTACTACTAACACAGAAAAAGCTAAGATGGAGCACTCATTCCCCTTTTCAACAAATAACTCGCAGAGTCTCCAAAAGCTGTTTCCCTTCAGTGCACATAAGCAGGAGAAGGTGTATTTCAGCGGGGAAACCTTCAGGGCCCAAGTGAAAGGGCGTTCATTTGAGGCAGTAATATTTCTTCAGCTTCTGGAGCCACTGACTCAGAACGCCCAGCTCCTTTCTAATTTATAGCTTGCTCTTCACGTCTGACTGCCTGCTTAGCTGGGGAACCCTTTCCTGGGAGACACTTCACTTGGCTCCTGGAGGGGTCCAAGAAGGAACCAGGAGGTGATGCTGGGATGTACTTTTCAAGTGGCAAGGAACCTGAAACGTTTAAAATACTGAGGAAAGCATATAATTAATCAAGTACATTCCTCTAACACTCCGTTTTGCATTTTCTGTTTCAACTACCTTTCCTTAGGGAATAGGAACATTTTTAAAATACACGGGGGCTATGTTTGCTAAACCTAAAATGCAAAGTAATGGATGGTTAAGGGCATGGGATAGTCTTGGGACAGTCTAGAAACAGATTATCACTTAGTAGAGGCCGTTACTAAATATGTACTGCGTCCCACTGGCTTAGATAAAAGACAAATTTTCAGGAACCAGCAGTTAGCGTAATGGCTATGTCGCTGGACTCCCACGTAGTCCACCGCAGTTTGTGTCCCAGACCTGGTGGCTTAAAACTCACACTGGGCCCGTGTGCGTGCGTGCCCAAGATCCTGAGAGGAGAATGGAGGAGAAGGGATTGCGGTGTGACCATCCCCCCTGGGGGGTGATTTCTCACTTTCTGTCTCTATGTCTCTCTCTGTCTGGCGAGCGCACGTGCCCTATAGCAAAAACCTCTCCAAAAAACAAACAAAAAGAAAAGAAAAAAGACAAATTTTGGCTGTGGCAAGATGGGTCTCCTCCCTACGGTGAGGCTTCCTGCTATAGCCCCATGTCCCTGCCCAGTGAGTGGCTGCTGCCTGACCTGCTGGTGAGCTGGGCATGGAGACAGCAAGTGAAGCAGGTCAATTAAAGGCCTAGCAGATGGTGGCCATTCTGAAATTAAGAAAGGCCTCTCACAAGAACCACCTGGCCAAGTGATGCATCATGGGAGGTCTGTTTGAGGAATGGTCCAATGAGAAACCAGGAGTGGGTATTTGAAACCACCAGGTTAATTAATTAGGGGAAAGTAATTGAGTCTGATTGATGTGACACTTCTCTCTTAAGGTTTTATTTTTTGAACCACTTCAGGGATGAAGACTTCTTTGCAACATATTAACAACAACTCCTTTGCAACAATATAAATCTCTGCTTGTCTCCTGAGGGCGTCCAGAACCTGAGCCCAGACTCATCCTGATCCACGGCTGCCATCAGGACCTCATCTCCTTCTCTCTGGGTGGGAAGACGATGAGGTCCTCTGGGGCTGAGCAATGTGGGAGGTGGCTGCGTCCTTTACTCAGCATTCCCGCACTGCCAATACTCAGGGACCTCCTGATCTGTTATTTATAGTTTTCTCTGTCTCCTCTGCAAATTTACCTGTTGACATTTGTTCTGCAGTAGACTAAGTGGTCACAAAGTGAGGGACTTTGAAAAAATAAAGAGGTGTATTTTCTTTTCCACTAGATAAGACCTTATGAGTGGGTCTGTCCAGTCCTGCAAGCCCGTGGATTTCAGTATCATTCAGGGACACTGAGTGGGCCTCTGTTTCCTCACTGATGCTCCTGTCTCAGTTGTGTTCCAGTTACTGCAGCTGTTGGGCCCGTGCCCCCATGTCTGTGAGGACGCTCAGTGAGGCTGTACATCGTACCACATCTTTGGCCTCGGGGCCCGAGTGGAGCTCCTCAGCTAGGACGGTGGAGCAAACCTTACCTTCTTGTACAGACTCCTCAGATCCCGGTACTGCCACATGCTGTTCAGGACCTGAGATGCAGCCTTGACCACTTTTGGAGAGTGTCTGATGGAGAAAGGAAACACAGGATGGTGAGTGGCAGCTGGGCCTCAAATGGACGTGAGATTGTCAGGGAAATGAACAATCAGCCTCCTCCTGGCTTTCCTCGCAGCTTGGGGAGTGCTGGACTGTTCTACCAGTTCCTAAGCCCATTCTCTTCCATGCACCCGAGGGTGAGAGCCAGGGACACAGCACACTGTGGCGAGGGGATTTTCTAAACGTAAGCACAAGAGCAGTGATGTTGCGTTGGAACACAGACTTCAAGTTTGGCTACAAGATGGGACAGAAAGTGAGTAGGAAGGCAGATTCAGGGGTTTTGATAACCACATCAGGTAACACCTGTGCAGTGAGACAAAAGGAGTTTCATTGTCTGAACTGAGGCATGAGAGCAGCCACCCTGGTGGCGCGACAAGCCTGCATGATTAAAGAGAGTTGCTCTCCACGTGCTGCTGAAGCCAGTCACAAAGACGGGCAGGGAATACCGCCCTGTGCATACGCTTTTCCATGTACACAGAGGCATGCATGGAAACATCTGGAAATGAAGCCCTACATGCACTTGCAGTTCTGCCGCTGAGGCCGGCCGCACAGCACAGCAGCTACACGCTGTGCATAGTGAGCTAGCTCTCATATGATCAACCACAGTTCAAGTCCCACCCCTGGCCGCTTGAAAAACACCCTAGGCATGTGTGCCCCGAATCCTGGCAGAATGGAGAAACGGAGGGAAAAGGACTGTGGTATGACCGTGTCCTATTGGGAGGTGCTTTCTCCCTCTCTTTCTCTGGGGAGCACAAGCACACCCTGGGAAAAAGAACTATAAAATAAAATGTAGTTCTGTCCTCTAGACCACAGGGAGAAACCAAGGTCACATGCGTCTTTGGACTGGCGGTTCTGAACCATTTTTGGGTCATGCCTTTGCAATCGCTATGAAAATGTAACTCGATATTTTGTCTTTTGGTTCAGTGCCTCAAATGAGAGACTAGGTCAATATATTCACGTTGATGTAATCTGGTCACATTCTTGGAAGTTGCTCTGACTAGTGGGCATGGAGGCTGTTACTGCCTGGTGGTTTTGGTCTGATGGGTGGTCTCACAGCCAACTACACAGCTCTAGCTGTTGACACTGGGGTCTGTCTCGGGGAGGCCAGCACACCTTTCCTGGGAAGGTTCAGGTAATAAATGTTCTTGGCTTTGGGGGCTCTGCAGTCTCAGATGCAGTTACTTAACTCGGCCACTGTAGCATGAAGAGTCATAAATGTAAAAAAGAAGTGAACGGGAGTGGGTGTGTTCTTATAAAACATTACTGACAAAGAACAGGCAGTGGGAAGGATTCAATCTGTGGGCCATGGTCTGTGAACCCTCACGTCCATGTGAATGGTGTCCCCTGGTCCTGAGTAGGATATAACCATTCATGAAGATTCCACCATAATGACTCCCCTGGCACTGACCATGGTGCGGCAGCCACAGACCCACCAAAAGTAATCTCTAAATGGAGACTAAAGATACCTTTGAGGGACCAGCAGTTGGCATAATGGCTATGTCACTGGACTCCCATGTAGTGTACTGCAGTTCGAATCCTGAGAGGAGAATGGAGGAGAAGGGATTGCAGTGTGGCCATCCCCCCACCCCCCCGGGGGGGTGATTTCTCACTTTTCTGTCTTTCTGGCGAGCACATGCACCCTATAGCAAAACCTCTACAAAAAAATAAATAAAAAATAGATGCCTTTGAAGTAAAATGGCTTTCGTGGTAGAAAGGGAACAGATGGCTAGATACATCAGGTTAAGGTCGAGTTTGAGAGTGGAAGTAAGTGGATGTTGTGAGGACATGCATTTTGTAATGAAATGATGGAATGCCAATACATGGTTCATAACATGGCTTCTGTTTTCTCAGTATTTATCTTTGTTATTTAGACCAAGTAGGTTTAAAATTTCTTCATCCATTTCTCTAAAAGTGGGTCACTCTTATTATTACTGTGACTGAGAGGGAATTTAACTTGTTTGTATTAGTGATTTTGAAAAGTATTTTAAAAAATGATTAGTGGGCCAGCTGGTGATAATGTAGTGAAGGCAGATGAATCCCACATGATCAACTGCATGGTTCAAATCCCGGACGTGGCAGCCTGAGAACTGCACCGTGTGTGTGTGTGTGTGTGTGTGTGTGTGTGTGTGTGCCTAAAATCCTGACAGGAAAACGAAAGAGAAGGGATGGCACGGCCATAGCCCCTGGGGAGTGCTTTTTCATTTTCGTTCTCTCTCTTTCTCTCTCTCTCTGGTGAACATATGTGCCCTATAGCAAGTTAAACATAAATAAATAAAAGAAAAAGAAAAGATTAGTTATATTTAGGTCACATATTTTCTTTAACTAAAATGAATAGGTTGCCAAAAAATTTTCACATTTAGGATCGTGTCATGCTCTAAATGCATGAAGGGTCCTCAGAAAGTGGATGGAAATGCTTACTATGAAAAACTATGCATAGAGTTAAAACATTTTCCACACCAAAATGAACTTGTACTTTAATCCCACTTTTCCATAAACTTTCTAAGTCCTCTCATAATATGTTATTCTTCTGACTTAAACATAGTACATTTTAGATCTTTTCATGGATACTGACAAAAGTACTTTTTAGTCATATATTACTCTGTGCTGAACACAGACTAGATGCTATATTTTGTTTGTATTTTATCATTCTTAGCTAGATATTTTTCCATCAAAGTAGTTAAGCAACTCTACAGAAACATATATTATTGGGTTGTCAGAAAAGTCATGATGCATTTTTGCATAGAAAAGTCTAGAAAAAAATATGTCATGACTTTTCTGACAATGCAATAATATTCAGGTAGAGACTGCAGCTGAAATATATTTGAAATAGAAAAATTCCTCTGGTACAGTGTAAATTTTGTTTCTGCTTCTTGCTTGGTTACGAAATTGAAAAAGACTGTGAATATGTAATGAATTGCAGGTTTTAACCTCTCAATTAAAATGCCAGTATGCCATAGTGTTATAGTAACATGTGAAGGTCAAAAAAACATTAGTTTCTCTTTAGCCTTTAGTTCTGATCCAGCCACTAGACTGGTGTAACAGAAACTTCTACTTGAAAAACTATAACTATTGATTGAAGGACCTGAACAACTGAGGGCCTCTAATGTGACAAGTGATTATAACTCAGGCCACAGTCCCCAGTTCTTTACTGACAAGTAACAGTTGAGACCGTTAATAGCTTTTCTGTCTTATGACAAAATACAATGACACACTCGACACTATTTTCCATGTAACTGTTAAAATTTGAAAAAAAATGTATTTTAGAAATAGATGGACATGATAGAATGTCTGTAATGGGTATTTAAAATGATGTGAAAAGAATACGTTATCAAGACTTCAAAATGGTGAGTGTAAGACGTCTATAAGAGTTAATAACAATTACACAGTGTCTGATCTACACCAGAGCTGTCAAATCAGGGTGGCTGAAGATTTCCATTAGTGCGGTTCAGTGTGAGGTTTAACGCGGCTGAGCCTACAGTAGGAATCGAATATCAGCTTCGTCAGTGGTGTTCTCAAAACCCTGTGGACTGCACCGTTGCAACAGATGAGTGGCTCACCAGGCTGACTCACTGACATCATGGCACATTTAAGCTTGTGTATATTCATAAACAAAATGTATAAATACTGAGAATGGAGGATTATAGCTAGACATATTTCTTCCATCTGTGTTTTCCCATATGCTATCTTAAGTATAAACTGAACTGTTTTTCTGCAAATACGTTTTTAAGGACAATTCAGGATGAATAGATAGGAAAGCCTTTTATAAATTAACTAGGGTCAATTGATATTCTTACTGGATGCAATCATTAAATCATTCCCACTTCCACAAATCCTGTTTTCGGTAAAGAATTTCTACTTTATTAAAACATGCTTAGCAATCCAAGAGAATCTCAATGCCTACTGTCACATTAGAATGAATGACAAATGGTAAATTTTATATTAAGATTTGGAGCAAATTTCCTAGATTCATTTTGTTTTAAGAGCAGTGAAAAGCAATCACCCAAATAAAATGTAGGCAGGAAATGAGAATATATGCAGCTATAAAAACCTTATTTTGATCCCCAAATTAGTTAGTATATAAAAAAAGAGATACACTGTATGGAGAAATGGATGAGATGACTAAATAGGAGAACTATAACTGTGAGGATACTTGATTCACTCCATTTTAACAGTTCTTATTAAAACCATAAATCCAGGCTGTGGGCATTAGAAATAGAAACAAGTGATAGTCCATAAAGACATCTGCAGTCAAATTACAGGGCATTTATGGGATTATCTGCACTGAAAAAGTCTTTTCATTAACGATAATCAAGATTAAACCAGACCCAGTCAGGCCATATTCTGGATTGGCAACAAGGATATATACCATTGCGTGGGTGATTTCCTCAAATAATTTTTCAATTAATTTCACCAAGTAATTTTCTTAGACTATAGGACTCATCTAGTGATGCTTACTGCTGTCGGGATGCTAATGCAGCTAGAAGGGCTAATACTCATCAAACCACTCCTCAAAGCACTGCAGTCTCATGGTTCAGAGGCAGGAATCTTAGAATGTCTTAGGAATATAGGCAAACATATCAGATCACCTTGGTGGGCTAAGTTTTATTACATGTGTACACGCGTTTGTTTAAAAAAGTATGAACATAATGTTCTTAATACTCAAAATAGGTAGACACTTGACTGAGAGTTCTAACGGTTTACTGAAGCTCTATAAAGTGGAAACCATGTGGTTTGCTGTCGATGGAACAACACAGCGCTTTATCATAAGAACAATATCAGAACATATGATCTAAGCCAACAATCTCCATCACAAAATTATTACATGAGTCCAGTGGGGCTTCTCTGTTTGATATAGGAAAGTATTCGAATCCTAATGCAGAATTATTGATGGAACCTATTTAGAGATCACAGGTGCTAAGCAGGAACCCTGAAAATTTTCAAATAATTCATTGGTAACACCCTGACTTGAGTAAAACAGTGAGACAGAATTTTGAGAAAGCCTCAGAGTGCATCCCTTACAGCCTTTACTAACAAAGGAAAATGGCTTAGCATTTAGATGTAATGAAACAAGTGGTGGGGTGGGTAGGACAGGGAATAAGAAGTCAAAAAGGAGACCCTTGATAACAAAGGGTTTACTCTTTTAATCTTATTTGATTACATTGAGGGACTTCCAGGAGGCAAAATTTAATTAAGGTTAGTGCAGGTTTCTATAACACTGACAGCTTGTTGATATACCTACACTCTGGTTTGTGAAGATAGTTTTCAGTTGCAGACAGTAAGATACCACTAGTTCTTAAATCAAACTGGGGGACATTTCTATCTGTGGTGGTGCAATTGCTTTGACATCAGGTCTTATCTCTTTTTATTCTACTTGCATGGAAGCTGTCCTTCCTCACCACTACCCTCTGTTTGGGAAATTTTTTATTAATCTTTAATATTTTTTTCTTTCATACTTGATTATCACTTCTTCCAGGAAGTAGATTCTAATAGCCTCTCCCTCAGTTTTAGATTGGAAAGTACAGGTAGAGTGACTTGTTAAATAATTTGCACCAAAGTTAGCAGGTGGTAAGGGACAGTGCTGGATTAGAACCAAGTTTCCGTTGACTCTATCACAATCTGTCTTCTGCTCCAACCTTCCTGCATGAGGACTTACTATGAGTGGGTCAGTTCCACCATATTGGTAGGGTAGATTGGACATGCTCTGCAGAGTTGAAGAGACGCAGAGCAAAAAGATGTGGAAAATCTTAGACACATGGATTTGAAATCAGAGAAACAACACACTTTAGTGTGTCCAGGCTAAGCTAGTTGTCTTTTCCAAACTGAAGGAATACGTGAGTACGCAGGCAGGATTGTCAAGTCTACCTTACCAATATTGCAACAGTCACCAAGTCATGAGTTATTTCTCAAATCTAAATGACCAATAAGGTCAGCTTTTATTGTAGTCTGGGAAGACTAGAAACCATCTGCCATCTTCTTTCTCTTGACTCAGAGACAAATGCCTTCCCTCAGCATTCACCAGTGCCTCATTAATGGAAAGATGTTAGCTACCCTTTAAACCAATGCTACCAAGACAGAGAGATGGAGCCACTATCTCACGTACTTATCTCCTTTGCTTTTGGAGATGCCGACCAACTTCTCGATGCCGCCAGCATCCCGTAAGGCCTTGGCGTTCTCCATGTTCTTGGTGATCACTTCATGCAGGGTGCAGCAGACAGCTGTCACTGTGTCATCCGACATGGCCTTGCTTGCTGCATTGTTGCTGTTGTTCCCACCTGGGAGCCTGTGGACTAGGTCTCGCATGGCGTATTTGCCTTTGGAAAAGAAATTAAAGGGAAAAGTTGAAAGGAGGTCAAGATGGAGTAGGAGGGTCAGAAGAGAGGTGGGTCCAGGAGAAGAAAAGAGAAAGTGAGAGGTCACATCAGTGTGATATTGCCTGTTCTGCATCACCAAATGCCCCCTGCTGGGTAATTTTGGGCACATACAGAGAAAGTGGTACTTTCTAATAGGAAATGCATGGTCTTTGGTGCTGGATAAATGTGGGATAGCATCACTGGTCATTATTTCATGCTTTTTAAGTCTGTCTTTTCAATCTATAAAGCAAAACAAAACAGTGCCTGCTTTTCAAGGTTGTAAAGATTAAATGAGTAAATTATGGAAAGCATTTAACATACAGTGATTAACAAGGACGGAGGACTCAATGGATGTTGGCCATTATTAGTTCCTGCTTGATGTTCGCAGAAGTCACAAGAATGTATAGCAATTCTAACAAAACCCTCAGAAACATCATTCTAACAAAACACCTCAGAAAGAGTGCCATGTTGGAATTTGTATTATTTAACAAGTCAAGTCAAACTACAATAGGTTTTTTTTTTTTTTTTGAGCGATTTTCGCTATAGGGTGCGTGCGCTCACCAGACAGACAGAGAGAGACATAGAGACAGAAAGCGAGAAATCACCCCCCAGGGGGGATGGCCACGTTGCAATCCCTTCTCCTCCATTCTCCTCTCGGGATCTTGGGCATGCACGTACACGCGCCCGGCGTGAGTTTTCAGCCACCGGGTCCGGGACGCGAACCGCAGTCGACTATGTGGGAGTCCAGCGACATAGTCATTATGTTAACTGCTGGTTACCAAACTACAATAGATTTATCACATACTCATGGTATGTGAGATCGGCATTTTTGACCCCTGTAAAAAGAATCATTGAAAAGGCAGGAGAGGAACTTGACAAACAACATAGACCTAGAGAACGTTTGGACTAGAGTTCAAACCTGATGATCTGCCTGCCTCTCCAATGGGATTTTATTGTATGGTTCAGCCATATAACATTTACTAATTTGGCATGCTTTTCTTTATGTGAAAAATAAAATAAAACCCAACTCTGCTTCCTTAATTCACTTTATCATTATTAATCTTTCTACTCACAGTGATAAAGGTACTTACATGACATATTTATGGAGCACTTTAGTTTACAAGCCACTTTATCCCTTACCAATAACCCCGAAAGACCATCAATTTATCCCACCTGTTGCTTCCAATCCTGTTCCTTTAATTTACTTCTGAAATTAAGTAAATGAAAGCCTGTGGTCGAGTTGGCCGTGCTTAAATTGTCTGGATGGAATTGGCAAATGTCCACAGTTGTACCCCTTCTTTGTCTCCAGGCCCCAGACAGGTATATTTAGCTAGTTTTTAAAAGCTATTAGAAATATCCAACCTCCATATGTATCTGTAAATGATATTGTCTTTTGCTATTTAATTCTCTAGTGCATGATGCTAAGGGCAGGAAAAGGAACCCTTCGGGAGTGGTTGATGATATCTTAATTCCAGGCAGCAATAAATAAAACTGGCCTTTGTCATTCTGATATCACTCGTATCCTATGTTTAGATGGCTTATTTTAGCTTGCACAGAAAATGCTGGTTTTAAATTGCTAAAATAGAAAAATATCTTCATTCACTTGATGATAGCCGAGGAAGTGTCTGACAAAAATGATTTGCCTGCAAGCCTCCCAAATGTAGCATATTTGTTTTCTAATGACAGCAGTTAAAATAGTTTAGAAAACTTACTTTGTACATGGATAGTCTCTGAGCAAGTTGCTTTATTTATCATTAAATCAGACTTGACTTTGGCTAAGAGTGAACTTTTGTTGACTCGGCATGTTAGAGCTCGTATCAGTTCATTAACCCCCACAAACCATTAGGAGACAAATCTGAGTTCTTGTGAGAAGATGGATGTGTTCCTTTATCTTCCTTTCCCTCTTTTTTTAAATAAAGGAAATGATGGAAGGACAATACGATGGAAAAAACTGTTTCCATCATGGTACATACGGGGAACATTTATACTCTCGACTAGTTATGGAAGACTGGGTTTGGGACCCTGGACATTGTCAAGGTTGAAAGCAAAAATGAGAAGGAGAGAATTTGGCTGTGGGATGTTTGAATTTTTGCTGCTTTTATGATTTTCAAAATTATGTCAGATACATTTGAAAATGTGGTTGCTCAATCCAAGAGTCCTGAATGAGACACAAGGTATTCTTGTAAGGTCCAGGTGACCGGGACAACTGTCCCCGCAGAACTCCCTTCTCCTTCCACTTTCGCCAGCCCTCCACATCCTGTCGTTTTCCATGGGCCCTTCAATGTGAGAAAGATCAAGAGTCATGGCTGTATTTAACCTCCTACAACCTGAATATTGGGGAAACTCAATGGCAGTATTTTATTTCTAGTATTTCTAGTACAGTTCATTGACATTCTATTAGGCAATTGAAAATTTTTCATTTAATCTTTTAATCAGTCTATTAGGAGAGGTATATTTAGACTATGTTTTTGACCATCCAAGTGGAGAAACAAATCAAGTAAAATTATTCTGTAAGGAAAAAGTTCTCTGAGCAAAATTAACTTATTTAAAGGACATACGTTTTCTTTTTTCTTTTTTTGATTATGTACTGATGTGAGGTTGCTTCCCCTCACTAGTATTTGAACCCTCACTTCATACATAGGAAATTTGGATAGGAACAAAAGCTTTTTAGTTCTTTCTGGTATAAGGAAACTTTGAGATTAACTGGGGGAAAATATGGAATATAGGCTTCTTATAGTCACAAGTAACCTACTACATGCTTATAATAGGAGTTCAGGAAAGACAGACATTAGGTTGAACTGGGGTTTTTACAGAAGGCTTAATATAAGAATTAGACAATTAGGATTTGTTCTATAGGTCAAAGAATAACAAGATCTCATTATTTTACAAAGAGAATTCTAGTGCATTAAGAAGCAAGTTTTCAGAATAGTAAGATTAACATGCAATCTCTTTCATGACACTGAAGCCTTCTCTTCCCATCCTTTCATCGAAATTGTAAGCACTGCAAGTCAAGGTAGCTTATGTCTGTAACTGTTCCATGTCCCATATTTTCATTTATTTTCTGAAAACTAGAAAGAGCGAAGAGAGTTATTTTTGCTACCTAAGAGGATGGACTGAATCCTCCTTCTGTCATCCCTCGGTCACACTTTCGGATCTTTGAGGTTTCAGATTTCTTTCAAGGTGAAAGGACTTAATTCCCTTATTGCAAGGTGGATGGGCAAAACTTACTTTTACAGCTTAATGCCATCAAGGTGATCAAATTGTTTTGTTTTCTTTTTAGAGAGAGAAAAATGGATGGAGGTAGGCTTCTGCTGGGCTGAGGAGGCAAGCAGCTAGGCTACTAAGTAGAGGCTGTCTCCCTGGGAGCCTAGAAGAGGAAGAAGCAGAAGATTCTGCCTCGGTCCAGGGACATAGAGGGTACCTGGAGCTCAGCACTGGTCCTGTGGCATGTTAGGATACAGAGGAGAACACAGGGACACAGGCCTCACCATTGGGCCTGTGAGGCATGAGGAAGAGGAAGTGTCTGTCTCAGAACAAACTCCCCGAGTCCACAAAAGAGGCAGTGGCACCAGCAACCACTGCAGATAGATGACCAATCCCTTCTTCTGGATTTACTTTGTATTAAAAACAAGTAAAAGGATGGCACAGACTGGATGTCATAGGGATTCATGCTGATACCATTTGGCAACTGTAATATTTCAGAACCGAGAAAAAAAGGACCTAGTCTATGGCTATGAAGAGGTGACCACCGTGAGACCAAGGAGAAAGGAACAGCTATGGTGGCTATCCCTAAGATGCAACTAACAGAGTGGAGTCCAGTGAAATGTTCAGGTCACGGAAGGGAAGATGGTTCTGAGATCTCCAGCTGAGACACTGGAGAGGGTAGTGAAAACCAATAAAGGACAAATTGGATTTCTGTTTTCATACAAAGACAAACATACAAAACTAGTTATGAGAGAATCGTACAGCAGAACCCCATCAGACAGACTAGTAGGTCATCAAGTGCAAATGACACCTAGCTTTGTGACTGCAGAATGGACACCTCGTCTTGCTGCCAGTTGGAGTGTGCTCATCATCCAATAGGAAATCAAAGCTCATAAAGAAAAATGTGTTGTTTCCTTACACCAGAATAGATAAAACATACCACCACCACCAACAATAACATACAGGTCATTCTGTCTCACTAAAGATTTTGCTGACATAAAAAAAAAATTACTTTTTTCTTTATAAAAGCACTTTCTTTTTTTGTGGTGAGAATAAACTTAAAATTTACCATTTTATTCATTTATAAGTATGCATTTCAGTGATACTAAGTGCTTTCAGATCATTGTACAACCACCACCACCCTCCATCCCAGGAATTATTTTCATATTGCAAAATCGAAACTCTACCCAGTACACTGTAACTTCCCAATCCTTTCTCCACTGCTGCTCGAAGTCCCCAATCTACTTTCAATATCCATTGCATGTATATACCACATTTTTCTTATCAGTTTATCTTTGATGGACAGTTGGATTGATTTTTTATTTTAGCTACTGGAAATGCTGCTGCCTGAAATATGGGTGTACAAATACCCTTTCACTCTCCAACTACTTATACTTTGGTTCTAACGTGAGTCTCTTGTAGACAATATAGAGTTGGGTCATTTTTTTTTTTTCCTTAATTTTGATAGAGGGTGTGTGGACTTACTGGAGAGAGAAAAAGAGAAAATGCGAGAACCTGTCCTCCCATAGGGCATGACCACACCATAATTCCTTCTCCATTTCTTCTTTTTTTGGGGGATTTTAGGCGCATGCACACACATGTCCAATGTATTTTTCAAGCATCCAAGGTCCAGAATTAGAACTACACACAGCAGTCCCTATCACCAGGCCACAGGCTGGCCTGGATCATGTGTTTTTACGTATTCTGTCAATGTGTCCTTGATTTGAAAAATTAATTCATTTACATTTCATTATTTA